ACCACGTTGCTCCCTCGGAGGAAAACATACATCCCATGGGCAGGGGATGAACGGGAATGGTTTGGGTTGACCTCGACACAGGGCAGCAGCCCTCAGCCCATCAGTTGACTATCAGCCCATCTGTTGGCTATGGTCTCTGCATGTTTCTATCCCAGGACAGGACTCCAGTTCTGGCTGTCCCACTGAAGGAGCCTCTCACTAGCAACAGAAGCACTCACAAGCACAATCCCACTTCTCTTTTCAACTCCTGATGGGTGCTGGGCTGCTCCTTTTGAAGGTCACTACAACTCTGCCATACTTGGAGCTTCCCTCAATCCTTAATGTTGCATATTGGGTAACAGAGCTTTGCCAGCAGTGGGGCTGTCAGAAATGGGAGCACCAGCACACTCTTCCTAAATGTCGTCCTCCGCCCAAAATCCCCAGCAAGAGAGAGAGATGAGGAGAAATTCATCTGCACACAGCACTGGGCTTCTGACACACACTTCTTGATGACGGCAGTGCCCATCACAGTTATGAACCACGAGTGCAGTGCTGGAGAACATTGGGTCTGAGGAAGAACACGGTGCTGGGAGCCGGTCACGTGCTGCAGGGACAGAGCTGCCAACTCACCCCATAGCTCTGGATGGCTCCTACTGGGTACTGCAGGGCTTGAGGAAGCACTAAAGCTTCCTCGCATCTCCAACTCTGCCCCCAAGCACCTGCAATAGTTACCCACTGCTCCAGTGATGAGAGCCCTGGAAAGTCCCAAAGTGGGCACAAAGCCCTGGGGTGACAGGGCTGGGATATACCAACAGCCTCACTTCCAGCCCAACACCCCACACCACACCGATAAGGCGTGGTAGCCAGGATAAGCTGGCTGACCCACAGAGCCCCACAAACCCTCCCAGCCCCACACCTACCGCAGCCCTAGGGACAGCCCAGGACCTCTGCGAGGCCCTGAGCCCACAGGGCCTCCCCACACCGCCCACAGAGCCCCGGCGCTCCTCTCCCTCACAGGCCCCTAGCCTCCTCCCAGCTCCCACAGACACCCCACTGATCCCCCATTGGCCCCTCAATCCCCCCACGGGCCCGCAGGCCCCAGACGGTGCTCCGGGAGCGATCCCGGAAGGGGTCTCGCCGCCTCCGGCAGGCCTCACGCAGGCCCCGACCCCCACCTTCTTAACAGCAGCGTTGAAAGCGAACTCCCCGGCCTCCTTGAGATCCAGCCAGATCATGGGCATGCGGGGCACGGCCTCCATCCCGGCCCAGCCGCCGCCGCCCCGCCGGAAGCGAGCGCGGGGGCTCACGGGAAGCAGAGTCCTCCAGCCCGGCCGTGCCGGGGCGGGGCCAGTTTCCTCTTCCGGTCAGCTGAGACGCCCCGCCCCCCTGTGCGTGCCTGGCGTAGTTTCCATGGCGACGCCCCGCTTCCCCAGAGGGGCGGGGAGCGTTGTTGCCATGACGACGCCTCGCTCGCGGATTGGCGGAAGTGACGGTTGCTATGACGACGCTCCGCCTCTTGACAACGCGGGGCGGTTCCTATGGCAACGCCCTGGGCCTGCTCAAGGCTGCGGCCTGGCCTACCGGCTGGGCCCAGCAGCCCCCGCTCCGCACCTCGAAGCCTCCTTGTTTCCGGATGGTTTCTGCCTCCCTCAGCTGAACTGGGGCTGAGTGTCCTTTTAGTAGGGCTGCAGGTGGCTTCCATCCTCCCCGAGCAAGCTGTCCTGCTGGGAGCACTCGCAATCATTCCTGTGCCACACGTGGATCCACACATATTTGTTGCAGTATAAGTCATACCAAACCGTTGATCCTCATGGCTCCCTTCCAACCCAAGTTATACTATGATTCTCTTCTTCATAACACACCAACTACTCTGTGTTGTCACAGAGAGGTAGCATGCGTGCACACACAGCTCCCAGAAAGCTTCTTCCTCTTCTGCATAAAGCATAAATACTGCAGTGCCAGTATTTACTGCCTAAATATATACATATGGAAGTTCCTAGCTCCTTTTCCTCAGTATTTAGCACAGAGAGTGGGCAGATAAGTCCTTAATTAGGAAACTAACTAAGTACCCCCCTACAGACCCCAAACCTTCCTCAGTGGCTGTCTTTGCAGCATCTGTGGTACATTCCTCTCTTACTCTTCCCCCCAGAAACACGATTTCCTCTTTGGAACTTTCTTCCAGACATTTTTTGAGATAGCAGGCTGGTATCAAGGTTATAATAAAGAACAATGTGAAGATTACATTGGCCACGGTAATACTTCGGTGAGCAGCCTTTGAAGCTGCCATAGCAGTAGTGCTCAGTGAGGAAACTGATGTTCAAATTTCCACTTCTGCCAACTGAATCAGACTGGGGAAGGAGAGGCTGGACGACAGCCCCACAGAAGGGATCTGGGGGCTCTTGGTCAGCCTGGTGGATGTGTGTGTGCAGTGCCCTGCATCCAAAAGGTCCCATCCCCTTTGCCCAGCAGTGTTGTTGAGGGAAGGAATTGTCCCCTCTGCTCTGTGCTTCAGCCCGACCTCAAGCACGGGGTGCAGGTTGTGTGCTGTTGTGTCAGCATCCAAAGGAGTGCTATGGAGATGGGTCTTCAGGGCAAGGGGTGTGAGGAGTGCTAGGGCCCTGGGTTTGTTGGGCACAGAGCTGAGGGGAAGGCTCACGGCTCTGCAGCTCCTCATGGCCATGCAGACCCTCATGGCCCTGTAGCTCCTCACAGGGAGTGGAGGGGCATTGGTGAGCTCTGCTTTCTGTGACAGCAACAGTGCCTGAACAAATGTGATGGAGCTGTGTCCAAGGAAATTTGAGTGGTGGTGAGGGAAACGCTTTGCTGCAGAGGGTAGTGGACATAGTGCAGCTCCCCAGAGCAGTGGGTATGGCCAAGTGCCCCAGTGCTGCCTCAGGAAGGGTAGAGTATCGGTCTGCTCTACTATATAGGTGTGTAGAGCTAAATTCAGAGTTCTTGGGGCCAAAGAAAAGCACCAGAACATCACCATGGCGAGCAAGTTCCTGCTCTTCATCCACTGATGTCTAGAAAAGCCAGTTTGCCAGCAACAGTGCTGGGCAGCCGCAGTGGTGCTCACCCACCTGCACAGACAGGAAAGGGAGTGCTGATGTTTCCTCAGAGTTCCTGTGCTTCAAATTGTGTCCATTGCCTCAGCTCTTCTTGCTCAGACCGGCTGTGGCACCAAGGAAGCTGTGGATGTGCTTTGGTGATTGCAGGTGATGTTTGGCAGGCCTTGCCACAGGTGCACAGCTGTTCAGCACATTGCAGGCCTGGGCCTGGGGACTCATGGCTGGCCATGGGCACACTGGACTGGCCCTGGAGATGCATTGCTGTGAGTACACACGAGGGCATGTGCTGCTTCATGGCAAGGACTGCATCCATGCAGACGTCTGCCTGCAGCTGAGAATGGGGCAGTGTTGCTGGTGCGTGGATGGATGCCCATGAAAAGCCCAGTGCCCATCACACTGCTGCCATCCCCGGCCCTGAGCAGTGGGGTGCAGCCCCAGCGCCCCGAGCCACAGCCTGCACTTTCCATATTGCACTGCCTGGAGCTGGGAGCATTTACAGGAAATGCCTCTTTGTGGGACCTTTGGACCATGGCTCACAGCCTGTACTGGGATGGCATCGCAGTCATAGCGGCATTGCTAAGGCACGGCCTGCCCAGGGTGGGGGCATGGAGCATCCCAAACTTGATTTGAAGGGGATGGGGTTGTGGATGGACTTGCTGCTCCATGCCCAACTCCTCTGGGGCAGAGCCTTTCCCTCACCCCCACCCGACCCACCACAGATAGCACATGCCATTCTCTTGGTTGCTGTCACAGAGAGGAGAGCTCAGCACTGCCAACTCCACTGCCTTTGAGGAGGTGTATGGCCATGAGAAGCTGTATGACCATGAGGAGCTGCAGGGCCATGAGCCCTCCTCTCAACCTCCTCTGCTTTGCGCCCAATAAACACAGGGCCCTCAGCTCTCCTCACACCCTTTGCCCTGCAGACCCTTCCCCACCTCCACAGCCATCCTGTGGATGCTCTCTCTCACAGCTCCGTGTCCTTCTCACACAGCAGCACCCAACCTGCACCCCATGCTCGAGGTCAGGCTGCAGCACAGAGCAGAGGGAACAGTCCCTTCCCTCACCAGCACTGCTGGGCTGCTGCATCCCAGGGTTGGGGCCCTTTTGCCTGCCAGGCATACTAATGGCTCACATGCACTGGGCCGTCCCAGAGCCCCCAGAGCCCTTCTGTGTGGCTGCCATCCAGCCTCTCCTGACCCAGTCTGTACATATACCCAGGGCAGCTCCATCCCACGTGCAGAATGCAGCTCTTGCTCTTCTTCATGTCCCTTAAATTGGGCATTGCCTGGTTGTCCCTCCCGTCGCTCAGGGTCTCTCTGCAGGACCTCTCCACTCCTGAAAGCAGCTCATGGCAGTGCAGTGCCATCCACAACCTTCCTCACTGCACCTCAGTGACAGTTTCCAGCCATGGAGAGAACACTGAAGAGAATCAGCCCTGACACGGAGCCCAGCGGAACCCCCCATGGCTGCCACCAGCACAGTGCCCCCCCGTCCCAGATCCCGGAGCCCCGGTCTTCCCCCACAGCACTGTGTGCGTGTGTAGCTGTGTGCTGAACGCTTCATCCTGACCATTCCTCCAGCAATGTGCTGCCCGTCCTGCTGCTGCCTCCGAGCTGCAGAGCGCCCACATCACCTGCACACGCCAGCTGAGGCCCAAGGGCCCACAGACGCCTTTCCCGTAAGCGCGCTCCGTTCCAGCAGTGCAGACAACACATCTCGCAGCAAAGGCTGCTGGAGAACCTCAGCTCTCGCACCGAGGGCAGCTCCCCTTCCACATCCCCGCCATCCTCCACAGCAGCCTGCATGCCCACAGCCACGGGCACCAGCCCTCCACATCCCATCCCCGCAGGCACAGCCGGCACTGGGCCTCGTCCCCACTGCACCGTGTGTGCGACCACCTCCTGCCAGCACTGCTCAGCACAGCAGAACCCAGGGCACAGACGGATGCTCCTCCACACAGCAATGCTCAGTGTTTATTGACAGCTCCTTCAGGCCCATCACCACACACCCTGCCTCACATCACCCCATACAGACAGCAGGAACGGCACAGCAGAGGAGGTCCCTGTTCTGGGACTGACCCCTGGCTGCCTACAGGAAGGTACAAAACTTTTCACGCAATGTCTGTGTGTCTTCCTCCAGCATTTCCTGTGTGTAACACGGAGCTCTGAGATTCTTCTCGACCATGGCATCAATCATGCTGATGAGATCTGCAACCTGCCGATCCCTCGCCTCCCCACTGGCTCTGTTGCTGAAAGCAATGCATCGATTTCCACACTTGTCTGCCATCACTTTGAGGTATGGTCTCTCTTCTATGAAAACACTGAGGTCTTCTGGATGCTTCAGCTCCTCTGCTCGGGTGAATAACAGGATTGTGTACTTGCGTGTTTTCTTGTGGAACATCTTGGTCACCCACTCAGCCACTTTCTCCTCTTCCTCTGTGATTCGTCCCAGCTGCATCACCAGGATGATGGCATGGACACCTTCACTGGTTTTCTGAAAGGCATTCTTAATCTTTTCAGCTGTTTTTTCATTGGTTTCTCTTGTATCAAATAGGCCAGGAGTGTCGATAACAAGAACTGGTCTTCCATTAACATGGTCCTTGACGTCCTTGCACTCTTGGGTTACCAAATGTGCTGACAACATGGAACGAAATGCCTCCTTCCCAAGGATGGTGTTCCCTGTCGCACTCTTGCCACTCCCTGTCTTGCCCACCAGCAGGATCCTCAGCTCGGATTCTGTGGACCAAGCAGAGACGAGTGTGAGCCCCGCGGTGCCGGGACACCCCCTGCTGGCCACGGAGAGCCGGCGCCACGAGGAAAGGTGTCCCCGAGCCACCGCTGTGCCCTGCGGGGACGGGACGGGGCACGGGCTGGAGCCGGCTGCCAGCAGGCACGCAGCGCTCGCTCGGCCCCGTCCGCCCTCAGCCTCGCTCTGTGAGCTCTCAGCGCTCAGAGAGATGGGAGGCAGCCTCAGGACGCCCCCGAGGCCACGGCCTCCCACGAAGCCCACACGAACTCCCCGTGCTTCCCAGCACTCAGCCAGGAGCCCGATGGGCTGCAGCTGCCTGCATGCGGAGCTGAGCGGCTCACCTGTGCTGTGATGTCCTGCCATCGGGACAATGCTCATAGAGGGAGCCTGAAAGGAGAGAGATTTTAAGTGAGAATAGCACAAACCTCCTGTGCTTCCCTCCCTGTGCTAATGAAAGTGATGCAAATGATCAGTGCACCGTCCCTGGGACACATCACTGTGAGGACATACGAGCACATGGGCAGCTGCATGACAAGGACTGCAGCCCTGCAGTCCCCTGCCCAGGGCTGAGAATGGGGGCAATGCTGCTGGTGTGAGCATGGACTGCCACGAAAGGCCTTCTGCCCATCACACTCCTGCCATCCCCAGTTGTGAGCAGTGGGTGCAACCTCAGCACCCCGAGCCACAGCCTGCACTTTCAGTACTGCACTGCCTGGAGCTGAGAGCATTTATGGGAAATGCCTCTTTGTGGGACTTCTGGCCCATGGCTCAGTCTGTACGGGGATGGCACCACAGTGGCAGCACTGCTGCCTGGGCATGGCCTGCAAAAGCTGGGAACCTGGAGCATCACTGCACTCCTCTTGGGGCCCTGAGAGCGGCAGGATCACAGAATGCCCTGAGTTGGAAGGCACTCCTGGCTTCCACACTGAACATTCCAAACCCATACCCTATGCCTGAGAACGGTGTTTCAGGGCTCCAGCAGCTCAGCCTGTGCCCACTTCCCAGGGGAGCTGCTCCATGCCCTCTGCCCTCGGGCGCAGCCTTTCCCTCACCCGCAAAAAACACTCCTCTAACAGCTCCATGCTTTCCGATGGGGGCTGTCACTGTCAGAGTGGAGCTCAGTGCTGCTCCTTCTCAGCAGCCATAGGGCCATTAGGGGCTGCAAGGCCACGAGGAGGTGCAGCTGCAGTGAGCCCTCCCCCTCAGCCTCCTCTGCTTTGGGCCCAATGAGGGCCCTCAGCTCTCCTCACACCCCTTGCCCTGCAGACCCTTCCCCATCTCCACAACCATCCTTTGGATGCTCTCTCACAGCTCCGTGTCCTTCTCACACAGCAGCACCCAACCTGCACCCTGTGCTCGAGGTCAGGCTGCAGCACAGAGCAGACAGGACGGTCCCTGTCCTCGCCAGCACTGCTGGGCCTTCTGCTTCCCCAAAAGGGGAAGGGGCCCTTTTGGCTGCAGGACACTGCAGGCTCATGTCCACCTGGCCGTCCCACAGCCCCCAGAGCCCTTCTGTGCAGCTGTCAGCCACCCTCTGCTCCCCCAGTCCGTACTGAGAAGCCATGTCCAGCCACTGAAGGGAACACTGAACAGAACCAGCCCTGAAATGGAGCCCTTTGGAACCCCCAGGGACTGCCACCAGTGCGTGCCACCCGTGTCCCAATGCATGGGCCTGAGGCATCAGCCCAGCTTTCACCAATCTCACTGGGTCTGTGCCTGTCTGTGTGCTGGGTGCTTTGTCTGCAATGTTCTGTGAGCAATGGTATGGAAGGAAATGGTATGGAACAGAAATACAAGCTAAAGGAGGGAGAGAGCACCTCAGCACTTGCATCATGGGCCGCTCCCCCTCCCCACCAAGGGCTTGCCTCATTCTTGCACTCAGGACCAGGGCTGATGGCCCCACAGGGACAGGGCTGCTCATTGGGCTGCCCACACAGCTCTTCTGCTGGCTGCTCTCAACAAGGGAGGCGCGAAGCCTCGCATCCACGCGCTGCACAGCACTGCATCCGTGTGCCCCAGCATGAGGCTGTCAGCACTGGGCCTGGTCCTGACCACATCAAATGCGTAACCACCCCCTCCCAGCCCTGCCCAGCACAGCAGAACCCAGGGCATGCGCAGGTGCTCAACCAGACAGCGGGGCTCAAGCACTTGTTGAGAGCTCCTTCGGGCACCACACTCCGTGCCCCACATGTACCGCGAAGGCGGGGAACGGCACGGCTGAGGAGGCTGTTTCCTCTCTGACTGAGCCCTTGCTTCCCACACGATGGTACCGACCTTCTCCAGCATTTCTCGCGTGTAACACGGAGCGTCACCATTCTGCTCTACCATGGCGTCAATCATGGCGATGAGCTCTGCAACCTGCCGATCCCTCGCCTCCCCAGTGGCTCTGTTGCTGAAACCGAGGTACCGATTTCCACACTTGGCTGCCAGCTCCTTGAGGCATCCGCTCCTTTCTATGAAGCTCTTCAGATCTTCAGGATGCTGCAGCTCCTCTGCTCGGGTGAATAACAGGATTGTGTACTTGTGTGCTTCAGTATGGGACATCTTGGACAGCCACTCAGCCTCTTCCAGTGTGATTGGGCCCAGCTGCATCACCAGGACGATGGCATGGACCCCTCCGGACAGGAACTGAAAGGCTTTCTTCTCAGCTGTTTTCAGGTTGTCTTCCATAGTGACATGAAAGCCAGGAGTGTCAACAACAACCAGTGACCGTCCAGCAGAGCAGCCTTTGACGTCCTTGCACTCTTGGGTTACTGACTGTGGTGACAGATAAGATTCAAATTCCTCCTTCCCAAGGATGGTGTTCCCTGTCGCACTCTTGCCACTCCCCGTCTTGCCCACCAGCAGGATCCTCAGCTCGGACTCTGTGGACCAAGCAGAGATGAGTGTGAGCCCCGCGGTGCCGGGACACCCCCTGCTGGCCACGGAGTGCCGGCGCCACGAGGAAAGGTGTCCCCGAGCCACCGCTGTGCCCTGCGGGGACGGGACGGGGCACGGGCTGGAGCCGGCTGCCAGCAGGCACGCAGCGCTCGCTCAGCTCTTCCTGGCCCTGTCCCCTCTCTCAGCTCTCCCACAGGAAAACTGATCGTGCCCAGCAGGAAGCCAAGCCCAAACTGAAGGTTCTGAACAAAGGATCCTCTGCAAAAGGGACACAAAGCCCCACGGCTGCACTGAAATGCGCACAGCACGGCTCCCACCGCCACCTTCCCCACTCCGTGGAGAAGCAGCTGGGGACTGCGGCCAGTGCAGCAGCTCCTCTGGCTTTGGTGCCACACAGCCCACAGCGTCTCCTCACTGCCACAAGATCGGCTCCAGCTTCACCCCAGCGCCAACAACACGCTGTGGGCAGCCCAGCTCCCCCCCTGCAGTGGCCTCAGGCTCCATCGGGAGGAACGCGTGGCCCTGAGGCTGCCCAGGAATGTCCGTCTCTAGCATTGCTCAGAGGGCTGCACCCAGTGCTCCTCCAAAAGCAGGAACAGAAAGTGAAGGCGATCTGACAGCAACCTGAGTCCCAGCACTGGGTGGAGTAAGCAAAAGCCCAGGCTGAACTGCTCCACTTCCGAGAATTCAGGCGCTCAGCAGAAAATGCAGCAGCGTTTGTGCAGGGTTGTTTTTTCCGCCCCTCCCTGCCCTGCGCGGCTTCAGTGAGGCACGGCTTCCGTGCAACAGCCGCAGAGACAGCAAGGCTTGCCGTATGGCTTTCCCCCTGCGCTGTGTCTCAGGCTGTACCCACCGCACACCGCTGTGCTGCCCGCCCTCAGCCGTGCTCTGTGCGGCTCCCAGAGCGGGGAGATGGGAGGCAGCCTCAGGAGATGCAACAGCGCGCAGGGGGGGAGCAGCTTACCTGTACTGTGACGTCCTGCCATCGGGAGAGCGCTCACACTCACACGGGGAGCCTGGGAGGAGAGAGATTTTGCGTGAGAGGGGCACAAACCTGCCCTGCTTCCCTCCCTGTGCCAATGAAGGTGACACAGATGATCTCTGGGGACTCACGTCAGTCCCACAGCCGCGTGTGCATGAAGAAAGACAAGTGGCATCAAAGTTACCCATCTGCATTGACTTTGTCAGCATCTTTGGAAAGAGATATTGGATGAATTGTATTCATAGAAGTCAGAACCCACTCCTCGGAAGCAGATTCTGCTGCCTTGGAATTTGTTCCGGCAGTGGCAGCAGAGCTGCAGCAACTCACCAAAGCAGCGCTGCGCTGTGTCCCAGCTCTGACTGCTGCACTCGTGCTGTTGCTGCTCTCGTCCCGCACAGCAGCGCCGGGGCTGGAAGCGCTGTGCAGCTCAGCAGCGCTTTTAGAGGCGGCGTCGGGAGGAGGGCAGTGCTGGGATCCCAGGTAGCGCTGCTCCACCATTGGCCACATCTGAGCTGCCCCAGTGCGGGGACACCGCCCGCTGTGCAAAGCCACATCCAGCCTGGACTCGGGCGCTGCCAGGGATGGGGCATCAGCAGCTCTTCCGGGAAACTCATTTATGGCCTCACCACCCTTGTCTTGAGGAATTCCTTCACGATACCTTCTCTGAAACTGCTCCATTTACATGTCAGCCATTCACCTTTGTCCTACTGGTTCACTCTCAGTGAACAGAAGCACAGCTGTGCCGTGCAGTGCTGCAGCCCTGGCACAAGGACCCAGAGGCTGTGGGGTTTTCTCCTAGTGCACATTCAGCCCTCACACATGAGGCTGTGCCACCTGTTCTGCGTGTCCCTGTGGAGGCAGGGGAGACCAAATCCCAGCATCCCCAAACCACAGCTCACTTGGGGCCTCAGGCACCTCTGCAGACCACCCACTCTAACAGCCCCATGCCCTTCGCACGCAGCAGCACCCCATGCTCGAGGTCAGGCTGCAGCACAGAGCAGAGGGCACAGTCCCTTCCCTCACCAGCACTGCTGGGCTGCTGCACCCAGTGGTTGGGGCTCTTTTGGCTGCAGGGCATTCTAATGGCTCACATGCACCGGGCCGTCCCACAGCCCCCAGAGCCCTTCTGTGCGGCTGCTGTCCGACCTCTGCTCCTCCTCCCCCCATACTGAGAAGCCAAACCCAGTCACTGAAGGGAACACTGGAGAGAATCAGCCCTGAGATGGAGCCCTGTGGAGCCCCCAGTGACTGCCACCAGCACATCTCCCCCCGTGTCTCAACACGGCCAGCCCAGCATTCACCCATCACACCGTGCCCGTGTCCAGCTGTGTGCCAGGCGTTGTGCCTGCAGGTTCCTGGGAGCAATGCTATGGAGGCACTGCAGGAGCCGAAACAGCTCTGCATCCAACCGGCTGGATCCCCACGAGCAGCTCAGTGGGTGACTGCTGGACCTGCACACCGAGTTCCCAGGACAGGTTTTGCCCCTCACCAGCCCGCGTTGGCTGCTGACAATGACTGCGTTGTCTCTCAGCTCTGTGTGCAGCTGAGGGCAGCGGTCCCGGGGCTGCAGAGACCCCGCAGAAGGGGAACCCCCCACCCCCGGCCGTCCCTTTGCCTGCTGCACGGGGCTGGACGGGGCCCAGAGGGGCCGTGTGGTTCCTGCACAGCGTGTGACTTTCGGGAATGGGAGCGGCTCAGCCCGGGCTTTGGTTCACCCGAGGGCAGCAGGAGCAGCAGGAATGCTTTCACTTCCTGTTGTCACACAGCCCAGAGCTCAGCGCCCTGCGCTCCTTTGGGGGCTCGAGTTCCCCCTGACGGCGTCAAGGAACAACAGCTGCACTTTCTCCTTCCTTTTCCAGAGGCCCCTCGTGGGGATGGGCTCTGTCCGGGCTGTGATTCCCGCTGGTTTCAGAACAGTGCTGATGCTGCTGACGGCGCCCTGGACCGCTGGGAGCAGCAGGAAGTAATGCTGCATGCAGAGCGCTAATTAAAACACAAACATTACACTAATTACCGTAATTATCCTTTAGTGCCTCCATAAGCCATGCTCAGGGATCTCCCCAAACCCCGCGCCCACCCCGCGCAGCGCGCAGCGGGCGACGTCGCGGCGGCACCGGGCGCTGCGCTCCGGCGAGTCGAAGGCGTCGGGCGCGTCCACCGCGTGCACGCCGTAAGCCCTCCACGAGCCGCTCCGCCGCTCGCTCCTCCGCGCCACCGCACGCGTGGGGTGAATCGCGGGGAGCAGCCGGGGGTTGGCTGAAGGCTCCGCGGCAGGGCCAAAGGTGGCGCATTCCATAAGCGCCTTTCCCGTCCACGCTCCCGTTTCCCGTCAACGCGCTCGGTTCCCTCAGCGCCGTCCCGGGCAGCGGAGCCGCGCGGTACCGCCGCCCCCCTCGAGCTCGAACGGACGCGCCGCCCCGCCGCCCCGCGCTCCCGCAGCGCCGCGTCCCCCAGCCGAGCTCCTCCGAGCCGCGCGGCCCCGGGGGTCGGCACCCGCTCTTCCGGCCCCGCTCTCGCCCAGCACCCGGGCCGAGCTCCCGGGGGCTCCGGGGTGGCCGGACGCTTCCCGACCCGCCGCGACGCGACGCGCTCCCCTGGGGGCTGCCGGCCCGACGGGGAGCGGCGCGCCGCCGGCACCGGGGCTGCTCGCAGGGCGGCTCCGAGCCGGGGCGGCTCCTCGGTGCCCGCTCTCACCCGGCGCCGTTCGGCCCCGGCCGCAGCCGCGCAGCCGTCGCGGTTTCGAGTTTTTTCCTCGTGATTCCACATTCCCTGCGTCACGCAGCGATGGGAGTCAACGGGGCGACGCGGCGGCTCCGAAGAATGAGCTACAATTCCCAGAAAGGCACGGCGCTCCCACAACGCTTTATTTTGTGATTTCCATCTTCCAGGAGGAGGCCATGACAGCAGAACCCAAAGCTCACAGCAGCGCTCTCCTTTGCTGCCTGTGTGTCACAGCTGCTGCAGCATCGGCACGAGAACTTTGCGTTTTGGAAACTCTCGTTTGTTCAGTAGCTTCAATTCCAATTACATTTCACTACTACAATTAGAAAACTAAGTCCTTCTTTCCTTAGCTCATTGCCACCGCTTCCCTTGTCCGGATCCACCTCCCTTCCCTTCCCCTCCTCTACCCCCTTTTTGGCATGGACCCGTGGGTCTCGTCACGGTGATTAGATCTTAATTACGGCAAACACAACCAACACGACGACTCCCCTCGCCCCTCGCTCTGCCTGAGGGCGATGCTCACAGCCCTGTGCAGCACCTCATCAGCCTGCACATCCCGGTCCCGCCTCGGCGCTCTGTTGCTCACAGCACAGCACTGCTTCCCGCACGCCTTCACCAGCTCCCGCAGCGCTCCTCTGTCGGCCGCCTTCACGTATTCATCCAGCGAGCCGCCCCCCAGGTCTTCGTTCCTTGTGAACACCACCATCATGCGCTGCTTAGCGCCCTTCCCAAACAGCTTCTGCACGCTCTCCTGCACCTCGCGGTCCTCCCGCGTGTAACGGCCCAGCTGTGTCACCAGCAGCAGCACGCAGGGCTCCCGGGCAGCGAATCTGAGGCAGCGCTGGCGCTCCTCGGCCAAACGCTGCTCGTCCCACTGAGAGCCCCCGAAAATCGCCGGGGTGTCCATGACCACCACGCACCACTCGCCCCAATCCCGCCTGCCTTCTTTGCACGTGGTGGTGACGGGTTGGGACGCCAGCCGGGACTCGAAGCGCTCCTCGCCCAGCAACGTGTTGCCGGTGGCGCTGCGCCCGGCTCCGCTCCGCCCCAGCAGCACAACGCGCAGCTCCGGCCGCCGACCTGCGGGGACAGCGGGACACGGCTCGGACGGGACGGACAGCTTCTCCTCCAGGTACTGCCGACCCCACGCCGAGCTTCCATGGACCCCGTCCCGTTACAGACAACACCCTCAGAGCACGGACCCCGCGACCGGACAAGGAGACCGGGCCCCAAACCAGCAGGCACACAGGGCTCGTGGGCCGCATCCGCCCTCAGCCTCGATCTGTGCGGCTCTGAAAGCAGAGATGGGAGGCAGCCTCAGGACGCCCCCGAGGCCACGGCCTCCCACAGAGCCCACGCGAGCACGAGGCTGCACCAGGATGCGAACCCCCCGTGCTCCCCAGCACTCAGCCAGGAGCCCGATGGGCTGCAGCTGCGTGCATGCAGCTGTGAGTGGCTCACCTGTGCTGTGACGTCCTGCCATCGGGAGAGCGCTCACACTCACACGGGGAGCCTGGGAGGAGAGAGATTTTGAGTGAGAGTGGCACAAAGCTGCCCTGCTTCTCTCCCTGTGCCAATGAAGGTGACACAGATGATCCCTGGGGACTCAGGTCAGTCCCACAACTGCGTGTGCATGGAGAAAGCCAAATGGCATCAAAGTTACCCATCTGCATTGACTTTGCCTTTGGAAAGAAATGTTGGCTGACCCTCATTCATGGAGGTCAGAACCCACTCCCTGAAAGCAGATTCTGCTGCCTCGGAATTTGTTCCGGCAGTGGCAGCAGAGCTGCAGCAACTCACCAAAGCAGCGCTGCGCTGTGTCCCAGCTCTGACTGCTGCACTCGTGCTGTTGCTGCTCTCGTCCCGCACAGCAGCGCCGGGGCTGGAAGCGCTGTGCAGCTCAGCAGCGCTTTTAGAGGCGGCGTCGGGAGGAGGGCAGTGCTGGGATCCCAGGTAGCGCTGCTCCACCATTGGCCACATCTGAGCTGCCCCAGTGCGGGGACACCGCCCGCTGTGCAAAGCCACATCCAGCCTGGACTCGAGCACTTTTCCTTAGACAAACACACATTTGAAATATAAATATGCTCAGAGGAAAGAGAATTGGATAGTGTGTGTGATAGCAAGGTTCTGATTCAGTTTGCAGAAGCGGAAATTGAGCGTCAGTTTCCTCACTGAGCATTGCTGCTACAGCAGGGCACTGTGGGCTCACGTCCACCAGGATGACCAAAAGCCCGCAGAGCCCTTCTGTAGGGCTGCCGTCCAGCCTCTGTTTCTTTACATACACCCAGGACAGCCCCATCCCACGTGCAGAATGCAGCTCTTGCTCTTGGTCACCTCCATTCCGTTGGGCACTGCCTGGTCCTGCCATCACTAAGGCTCTCTCTGCCAGGCCTCTTCACCCCTGACTGAGTCAGCAGCTCCTGGCAGTGCAGTGCCATCCACAACCTTCCTCACTGCACCTCAGTGACAGTTTCCAGCCATGGAGAGAACACTGAAGAGAATCAGCCCTGACACGGAGCCCAGTGGAACCCCCCATGGCTGCCACCAGCACAGTGCCCCCCCGTCCCAGATCCCGGAGCCCCGGTCTTCCCCCACAGCACTGTGTGCGTGTGTAGCTGTGTGCTGAACGCTTCATCCTGACCATTCCTCCAGCAATGTGCTGCCCGTCCTGCTGCTGCCTCCGAGCTGCAGAGCGCCCACATCACCTGCACACGCCAGCTGAGGCCCAAGGGCCCACAGACGCCTTTCCCGTAAGCGCGCTCCGTTCCAGCAGTGCAGACAACACATCTCGCAGCAAAGGCTGCTGGAGAACCTCAGCTCTCGCACCGAGGGCAGCTCCCCTTCCACATCCCCGCCATCCTCCACAGCAGCCTGCATGCCCACAGCCACGGGCACCAGCCCTCCACATCCCATCCCCGCAGGCACAGCCGGCACTGGGCCTCGTCCCCACTGCACCGTGTGTGCGACCACCTCCTGCCAGCACTGCTCAGCACAGCAGAACCCAGGGCACAGACGGATGCTCCTCCACACAGCAATGCTCAGTGTTTATTGACAGCTCCTTCAGGCCCATCACCACACACCCTGCCTCACATCACCCCATACAGACAGCAGGAACGGCACAGCAGAGGAGGTCCCTGTTCTGGGACTGACCCCTGGCTGCCTACAGGATGGTACAAAACTTCTCACGGAATGTCCGTGTGTCTTCCTCCAGCATTTCTTCTGTGTAACGCGGAGCTCTGCCATTCTGCTCTACCATGGCATCAATCATGCTGATGAGCTCTGCAACCTGCCGATCCCTTTTCTCTCCAGTTGCTATGTTGCTGAAACCAATGTACCGATTTCCACACTTGGCTGCCAGGCCCCTGAGGTATGAGCTCTTGTCTATGAAGCCCTTCAGACCTTTTGGATGCTCCAGCTCCTCTGCTCGGGTGAATAAGAGGATTGTGTATCTCTCTGCTTTAGAATGGAAGATTCTGGTCACCCACTCAGCCACTTCCTGCTCTTCCTTACTGATTCGGGCCAGCTGCATCACCAGGATGATGGCGTGAACCCCTGAATAGAGTTTCTTAAAGGCTTTCTGAATCTTTTTAGCTGTTTTTTCATTGACTTCCTTAGTGTCAAAAAGGCCAGGAGTGTCGACAACTTCTATTGATCTCTCACCGAACAAACATTCTTCTTTTTCATACTCTCGGGTTACCGATTCTGCTGACAAATTAGAGGTAAATGCTTTCCTCCCAAGGATGGTGTTCCCTGTCGCACTCTTCCCATTCCCCGTCTTGCCCACCAGGATGATGCTCAGCTGGGACCCTGTGGACCAAGCAGAGACGAGTGTGAGCCCCGCGGTGCCGGGACACCCCCTGCTGGCCACGGAGTGCCGGCGCCACGAGGAAAGGGACGTGAAAAACAATAAGAAAACCTTCTACAGGTACATTGGCCAGAAGAGACAGGCCAAAACGGGCGTACCTACTTTGGTAAATTTAAAAGGAGAACTGGCTTCAACAGATGAAGAGAAAGCTGAGGTGCTGAATGAGTTCTTCACCTCGGTCTTCACTGGTGGCCAGGATTCTAGTCTTCTTCACGTCCATGAACCCTGCATCCCCAAACCTCTATGTGGGGACCAAGGAGGTAAATCCCTCCCCACTGTAAGGGCAGAGCAAGTCCGAGAGTACCTCCTTAGACTGAATGAATACAAGTCTATGGGGCCGGATGGCGTGCATCCCAGGGTCCTGAAGGAGCTGGCTGAGGTGGTTGCCGAGCCGCTCTGCATCATATTTGAGAAGTCGTGGCTGTCAGGTGAGGTCCCGGATGACTGGAGGAAGGGTCACGTCACTCCCATATACAAGAAGGGGAGCAGGGAGGACCCGGGGAACTACAGGCCGGTGAGTCTCACCTCCATGCCTGGGAAGATCATGGAACAGATCCTCCTGGACAACATGCTCGATCACATAAAGAATGAGCTGTGATCCGAGACAGCCAGCACAGCTTCACCAAGGGAAGGTCATGCCTGACTAATCTTGTGGCCTTCTATGATGGAGTGACGGCATTGGTGGACAAAGGGAAGCCGACCGATGTCATTTACCTGGACCTGAGCAAGGTCTTTGACATGGTCCCCCACCACATCCTCATCTCCAAATTGGAGGGAAGTGGATTTGATGGGTGGACGACCCGATGGATGAGCAATTGGTTGAAAGGCCGCAGACAGAGTGTGGTGGTCAATGGCTCTGTGTCCAGGTGGAGGCCGGTAACAAGTGGTGTCCCCCAAGGGTCTGTCTTGGGACCGGTGCTCTTTAACATCTTTATTAATGACATCGATGAGGGAATTGAGTGCACCCTCAGCAAGTTTGCTGACGACACCAAGCTGAGTGGTGCGGTTGATACGGTGGAAGGAAGGGATGCCATTCAGAGGGACTCGACAGGCTGGAGGGCTGGGCTCGGGTGAACCTGATGAGGTTCAACACGGCAAAGTGCAAGGTTTTGCATTTGGGCCGGAAGAACCCCAGGCACCCGTACAGGCTGGGAGGAGTGGACATGAGAGCAGCTCGGCAGAGAAGGACCTGGGGGTCCTGATGGACGAGAGACTGAACATGAGGCAGCAGTGCGCTCTGGCAGCTTGAAAGGCAAATGGGATCCTGGGCTCCATCAGGAGAGGGGTGGTCAGCAGGGAGAGGGAGGTGATTGTCCCTCTCTACTCGGCTCTTGTGAGGCCCCATCTGGAGTACTGTGTCCAGGTGTGGAGCCCTCAGTACAAGAAAGACGTAGAGATCTTGGAAAGGGTCCAGAGGAGGGCGACTAAGATGATCAGGGGGCTGGAGCACCTCCCCTATGAGGACAGGCTGAGGGAGTTGGGCTTGTTCAGCCTGGAGAAGAGAAGCTGCGGGGTGACCTCATTGCAGCCTGTCAATACCTGAAGGGAACCTACAGCCAGGAGGGGAGTAAACTCTTCAGAAGGGCTGACAACAGCAGGACTAGGGGAAATGGATCCAAGTTGAGGGAGGGAAGATTTAGGTTGGATGTTAGGGGGAAGTTCTTCACAAGGAGAGTAGTTAGGCCCTGGAACGGGCTGCCCAGGGAGGTTGTGGATGCCCCGTCCTTGGACGTGTTCAAGGCCAGGTTGGACGGGGTCCTGGGCAACCTGATCTGAATGTGTGTGTTTGGTGGCCCTGCTGGGCAGGGGGGTTGGAACTGCATGATCCTTGAGGTCCCTTCCAACCCGGGTGATTCTGTGATTCTGTGATTCTGTGAAAGGTGTCCCCGAGCCACCGCTGTGCCCTGCGGGGACGGGACGGGGCACGGGCTGGAGCCGGCTGCCAGCAGGCACGCAGCGCTCGCTCGGCCCCGTCCGCCCTCAGCCTCGCTCTGTGAGCTCTCAGCGCTCAGAGATGGGAGGCAGCCTCAGGACGCCCCCGAGGCCACGGCCTCCCACAAAGCCCACATGAACTCCCCGTGCTTCCCAGCACTCAGCCAGGAGCCCGATGGGCTGCGCCTGCCTGCATGCGGAGCTGAGCGGCTCACCTGTGCTGTGACGTCCTGCCATCGGGAGAGCGCTCACACTCACACGGGGAGCCTGGGAGGAGAGAGATGTTGAGTGAGAGGGGCACAAACCTCCTGTGCTTTCCTCCCTGTGCTAATGAAAGTGATGCAAATGATCAGTGCACCATCCCTGGGACACATCACTGTGAGGACATACGAGCACATGGGCAGCTGCATGACAAGGACTGCAGCCCTGCAGACCCCTGCCCAGGGCTGAGAATGGAGGCAGTGCTGCTGGTGCGTGGATGGATGCCCATGAAAAGCCCAGTGCCCATCACACTGCTGCTGTCCTTGCCTGTGAGCAGTGGGGTGCAGCCCCAGCACCTCGAGCCACAGCCTGCACTTTCCATATTGCACTGCCTGGAGCTGGGAGCATTTCTGGGAAATGCCTCTTTGTGGGACCTTTGGATCACGGCTCACAGCCTGTACTGAGCCGGCACTGCAGTAGCAGCAGCACTGCCAGGGCACAGCCTGCCTCAGATGGGGGCATGGAGCATCCCTCCATTCTTCCTGAGTGCCACGAGAGTGGTTGGATCACAGAATGTCCTGAGTTGGAAGGGACTCCTGCTTCCACGTTAGACTAGCCTAACCCAAACCCTACGTCTGAGAACGGTGTCCCAGTGCTCCAGCAGCTCAGCCCGTGCCACTGCCCAGGGGAGCTGCTTCATGCCCACCACCCTCTAGGGTACAGATTTTCCCTCAATAGCAACCTACAATCTTCTGACAGCTCCATGCCATTACACCGCGGCCTGTCAGTGTTGGAGAGAGCTGAGCTCGGCGCTGCCCATCCGCAGCCTTTGAGGAGCTGTAGATCCATGAGGAGGTGCAGCTGCAGTGAGCCCTCCCCTCAGCCTCCTCTGCTTTGGGCCCAATAAACACAGGGCCCTCAGCTCTTCTCACACCCCTTGCCCTGCAGACCCTTCCCCATCTCCACAACCATCCTTTGGATGCTCTCTCACAGCTCCGTGTCCTTCTCACACAGCAGCACCCAACCTGCACCCTGTGCTCGAGGTCAGACCGCAGCACAGAGCAGACAGGACGGTCCCTGTCCTCGCCAGCACTGCTGGGCCTTCTGCTCCCCCAAAAGGGGAAGGGGCCCTTTTGGCTGCAGGACACTGCAGGCTCATGTCCACCGGGCCGTCCCACAGCCCCCAGAGCCCTTCTGTGCAGCTGTCAGCCACCCTCTGCTCCTCCAGTCCGTACTGAGAAGCCATGTCCAGCCACTGAAGGGAACACGGAACAGAACCAGCCCTGAAATGGAGCCCTTTGGAACCCCCAGGGACTGCCACCAGTGCGTGCCACCCGTGTCCCAATGCATGGGCCTGAGGCATCAGCCCAGCTTTCACCAATCTCACTGGGTCTGTGCCTGTCTGTGTGCTGGGTGCTTTGTCTGCAATGTTCTGTGAGCAATGGTATGGAAGGAAATGGTATGGAACAGAAATACAAGCTAAAGGAGGGAGAGAGCACCTCAGCACTTGCATCATGGGCCGCTCCCCCTCCCCACCAAGGGCTTGCCTCATTCTTGCACTCAGGACCAGGGCTGATGGCCCCACAGGGACAGGGCTGCTCATTGGGCTGCCCACACAGCTCTTCTGCTGGCTGCTCTCAACAAGGGAGGCGCGAAGCCTCGCATCCACGCGCTGCTCAGCACTGCATCCGTGTGCCCCAGCATGAGGCTGTCAGCACTGGGCCTGGTCCTGACCACATCAAATGCGTAACCACCCCCTCCCAGCCCTGCCCAGCACAGCAGAACCCAGGGCATGCGCAGGTGCTCAACCAGACAGCGGGGCTCAAGCACTTGTTGAGAGCTCCTTCGGGCACCACACTCCGTGCCCCACATGTACCGCGAAGGCGGGGAACGGCACGGCTGAGGAGGCTGTTTCCTCTCTGACTGAGCCCTTGCTTCCCACACGATGGTACCGACCTTCTCCAGCATTTCTCGCGTGTAACACGGAGCGTCACCATTCTGCTCTACCATGGCGTCAATCATGGCGATGAGCTCTGCAACCTGCCGATCCCTCGCCTCCCCAGTGGCTCTGTTGCTGAAACCGAGGTACCGATTTCCACACTTGGCTGCCAGCTCCTTGAGGCATCCGATCCTTTCTATGAACCTCTTCAGATCTTCGGGATGCTGCAGCTCCTCTGCTCGGGTGAATAACAGGATTGTGTACTTGTGTGCTTCAGTATGGGACATCTTGGACAGCCACTCAGCCTCTTTCTGCTCTTCCAGTGTGCTTGGGCCCAGCTGCATCACCAGGACGATGGCATGGACCCCTCCGGACAGGAACTGAAAGGCTTTCTTCTCAGCTGTTTTCAGGTTGTCTTCCATAGTGACATGAAAGCCAGGAGTGTCAACAACAACCAGTGACCGTCCAGCAGAGCAGCCTTTGACTTCCTTGCACTCTTGGGTTACTGACTGTGGTGACAGATAAGATTCAAATGCCTCCTTCCCAAGGATGGTGTTCCCTGTCGCACTCTTGCCACTCCCCGTCCTGCCCACCAGCAGGATCCTCAGCTGGGACCCTGTGGACCAAGCAGAGACGAGTGTGAGCCCCGCGGTGCCGGGACACCCCCTGCTGGCCACGGAGTGCCGGCGCCACGAGGAAAGGTGTCCCCGAGCCACCGCTGTGCCCTGCGGGGACGGGACGGGGCACGGGCTGGAGCCGGCTGCCAGCAGGCACGCAGCGCTCGCTCAGCCCCGTCCGCCCTCAGCCTCGCTCTGTGAGCTGTCAGCGCTCAGAGATGGGAGGCAGCCTCAGGACGCCCCCGAGGCCACGGCCTCCCACAAAGCCCACATGAACTCCCCGTGCTTCCCAGCACTCAGCCAGGAGCCCGGCTGGGCTGCAGCTGCCTGCATGCGGAGCTGAGCGGCTCACCTGTGCTGTGACGTCCTGCCATCGGGAGAGCGCTCACACTCACACGGGAAGCCTGGGAGGAGAGAGATTTTGAGTGAGAGTGGCACAAACCTCCTGTGCTTTCCTCCCTGTGCTAATGTCAATGATACAATTGATCAATAGACTGTCCCTGGGGATGCATCAGTGTGAGAACACACGAGGACATGGGCAGCTGCATGACAAGGACTGCAGCCCTGCAGACCCCTGCCCAGGGCTGAGAATGGAGGCAGTGCTGCTGGTGCGTGGATGGATGCCCATGAAAAGCCCAGTGCCCATCACACTGCTGCTGTCCTTGCCTGTGAGCAGTGGGGTGCAGCCCCAGCACCTTGAGCCACAGCCTGCACTTTCCATATTGCACTGCCTGGAGCTGGGAGCATTTCTGGGAAATGCCTCTTTGTGGGACCTTTGGATCACGGCTCACAGTCTGTACTGAGCCGGCACTGCAGTAGCAGCAGCACTGCCAGGGCACAGCCTGCCTCAGATGGGGGCATGGAGCATCCCTCCATTCTTCCTGAGTGCCACGAGAGTGATGGGATCACAGAACGTCCTGAGTTGGAATGGATTCCTGCTTCCACGTTAGACTAGCCTAACCCAAACCCTACGTCTGAGAACGGTGTCCCAGTGCTCCAGCAGCTCAGCCCGTGCCACTGCCCAGGGGAGCTGCTTCATGCCCACCACCCTCTAGGGTACAGATTTTCCCTCAATAGCAACCTACACTCTTCTGACAGCTCCATGCCATTACACCACGGCCTGTCAGTGTTGGAGAGAGCTGAGCTCGGCGCTGCCCATCCGCAGCCTTTGAGGAGCTGTAGATCCATGAGGAGGTGCAGCTGCAGTGAGCCCTCCCCTCAGCCTCCTCTGCTTTGGGCCCAATAAACACAGGGCCCTCAGCTCTCCTCACACCCCTTGCCCTGCAGACCCTTCCCCATCTCCGCAGCCATCCTTTGGATGCTCTCTCACAGCTCCATGTCCTTCTCACACAGCAGCACCCAACCTGCACCCTGTGCTCGAGGTCAGACCGCAGCACAGAGCAGACAGGACGGTCCCTGTCCTCGCCAGCACTGCTGGGCCTTCTGCTCCCCCAAAAGGGGAAGGGGCCCTTTTGGCTGCAGGACACTGCAGGCTCATGTCCACCGGGCCGTCCCACAGCCCCCAGAGCCCTTCTGTGCAGCTGTCAGCCACCCTCTGCTCCCCCAGTCCGTACTGAGAAGCCATGTCCAGCCACTGAAGGGAACACTGAACAGAACCAGCCCTGAAATGGAGCCTTTTGGAACCCCCAGGGACTGCCACCAGTGCGTGCCACCCGTGTCCCAATGCATGGGCCTGAGGCATCAGCCCAGCTTTCACCAATCTCACGGGGTCTGTGCCTGTCTGTGTGCTGGGTGCTTTGTCTGCAATGTTCTGTGAGCAATGGTATGGAAGGAAATGGTATGGAACAGAAATACAAGCTAAAGGAGGGAGAGAGCACCTCAGCACTTGCATCATGGGCCGCTCCCCCTCCCCACCAAGGGCTTGCCTCATTCTTGCACTCAGGACCAGGGCTGATGGCCCCACAGGGACAGGGCTGCTCATTGGGCTGCCCACACAGCTCTTCTGCTGGCTGCTCTCAACAAGGGAGGCGCGAAGCCTCGCATCCACGCGCTGCTCAGCACTGCATCCGTGTGCCCCAGCATGAGGCTGTCAGCACTGGGCCTGGTCCTGACCACATCAAATGCGTAACCACCCCCTCCCAGCCCTGCCCAGCACAGCAGAACCCAGGGCATGCGCAGGTGCTCAACCAGACAGCGGGGCTCAAGCACTTGTTGAGAGCTCCTTCGGGCACCACACTCCGTGCCCCACATGTACCGCGAAGGCGGGGAACGGCACGGCTGAGGAGGCTGTTTCCTCTCTGACTGAGCCCTTGCTTCCCACACGATGGTACCGACCTTCTCCAGCATTTCTCGCGTGTAACACGGAGCGTCACCATTCTGCTCTACCATGGCGTCAATCATGGCGATGAGCTCTGCAACCTGCCGATCCCTCGCCTCCCCAGTGGCTCTGTTGCTGAAACCGAGGTACCGATTTCCACACTTGGCTGCCAGCTCCTTGAGGCATCCGCTCCTTTCTATGAACCTCTTCAGATCTTCGGGATGCTGCAGCTCCTCTGCTCGGGTGAATAACAGGATTGTGTACTTGTGTGCTTCAGTATGGGACATCTTGGACAGCCACTGAGCCTCTTCCAGTGTGATTGGGCCCAGCTGCATCACCAGGATGATGGCATGGACCCCTCCGGACAGGAACTGAAAGGCTTTCTTCTCAGCTGTTTTCAGGTTGTCTTCCATAGTGACATGAAAGCCAGGAGTGTCAACAACAACCAGTGACCGTCCAGCAGAGCAGCCTTTGACTTCCTTGCACTCTTGGGTTACTGACTGTGGTGACAGATAAGATTCAAATTCCTCCTTCCCAAGGATGGTGTTCCCTGTCGCACTCTTGCCACTCCCCGTCCTGCCCACCAGCAGGATCCTCAGCTGGGACCCTGTGGACCAAGCAGAGACGAGTGTGAGCCCCGCGGTGCCGGGACACCCCCTGCTGGCCACGGAGTGCCGGCGCCACGAGGAAAGGTGTCCCCGAGCCACCGCTGTGCCCTGCGGGGACGGGACGGGGCACGGGCTGGAGCCGGCTGCCAGCAGGCACGCAGCGCTCGCTCAGCTCTTCCTGGCCCTGTCCCCTCTCTCAGCTCTCCCACAGGAAAACTGATCGTGCCCAGCAGGAAGCCAAGCCCAAACTGAAGGTTCTGAACAAAGGATCCGCTGCAAAAGGGACACAACGCCCCACGGCTGCACTGAAATGCGCACAGCACGGCTCCCACCGCCACCTTCCCCACTCCGTGGAGAAGCAGCTGCGGACTGCGGCCAGTGCAGCAGCTCCTCTGGCTTTGGTGCCACACAGCCCACAGCGTCTCCTCACTGCCACAAGATCGGCTCCAGCTTCACCCCAGCGCCAACAACACGCTGTGGGCAGCCCAGCTCCCCCCCTGCAGTGGCCTCAGGCTCCATCGGGAGGAACGCGTGGCCCTGAGGCTGCCCAGGAATGTCCGTCTCTAGCATTGCTCAGAGGGCTGCACCCAGTGCTCCTCCAAAAGCAGGAACAGAAAGTGAAAGCGATCTCACAGCAACCTGAGTCCCAGCACTGGGTGGAGTAAGCAAAAGCCCAGGCTGAACTGCTCCACTTCCGAGAATTCAGGCGCTCAGCAGAAAATGCAGCAGCGTTTGTGCAGGGTTGTTTTTTCCGCCCCTCCCTGCCCTGCGCGGCTTCAGTGAGGCACGGCTTCCGTGCAACAGCCGCAGAGACAGCAAGGCTTGCCGTATGGCTTTCCCCCTGCGCTGTGTCTCAGGCTGTACCCACCGCACACCGCTGTGCTGCCCGCCCTCAGCCGTGCTCTGCGCGGCTCCCAGAGCGGGGAGATGGGAGGCAGCCTCAGGAGATGCAACAGCGCGCAGGGGGGGAGCAGCTTACCTGTGCTGTGACGTCCTGCCATCGGGAGAGCGCTCACACTCACACGGGGAGCCTGGGAGGAGAGAGATGTTGAGTGAGAGGGGCACAAACCTGCCCTGCTTCCCTCCCTGTGCCCATGAAGGTGACACAGATGATCTCAGGGGACTCAGGTCAGTCCCACAACTGCGTGTGCATGGACAAAGCCATATGGCATCAAAGTTACCCATCTGCATTGACTTTGTCTGCATCTTAGGAAAGGAATATGGACTGGAAGTCAGAACCCACTCCTCGGAAGCAGATTCTGCTGCCTTGGAATTTGTTCCGGCAGTGGCAGCAGAGCTGCAGCAACTCACCAAAGCAGCGCTGCGCTGTGTCCCAGCTCTGACTGCTGCACTCGTGCTGTTGCTGCTCTCGTCCCGCACAGCAGCGCCGGGGCTGGAAGCGCTGTGCAGCTCAGCAGCGCTTTTAGAGGCGGCGTCGGGAGGAGGGCAGTGCTGGGATCCCAGGTAGCGCTGCTCCACCATTGGCCACATCTGAGCTGCCCCAGTGCGGGGACACCGCCCGCTGTGCAAAGCCACATCCAGCCTGGACTCGGGCGCTGCCAGGGATGGGGCATCAGCAGCTCTTCCGGGAAACTCATTTATGGCCTCACCACCCTTGTCTTGAGGAATTCCTTCACGATACCTTCTCTGAAACTGCTCCATTTACATGTCAG